TGATTTATTTCTCATATGCCAGATACACCTATGGGAAGCCTGTCCCAGGACTTGCAACTGTGAGCCTGTGTAGAAAACATTTTCCTGTTTCTTACTGTGCTATCAAGGAGATCTGTGAGGAATTCAGTCAGCAGGTTAGTAAGTGGTATTCTCTCTCAATGCTGTCACTTTCTACAAACAGTGAGAGACTCCATGACTCCATTTTATGACATAGAAAGACGGTATCAGGACAAGCTCATCCCAAAATATACACAACCAAAAAAGGAATTTCTGTTCTTAGTCAACAAGATTCTCCTTTGGATGACTAACTGTGGAGGTTACAAAGCAGATCTGAGTATTGACTTATTGAAGGTCAATTAACATGCTTACCACACAAAAAAGTTTTCTTGTCATTATAGAGAGAATAGTAGATTTAGTGACTATTGGTCTTAATTGGTATGATATTTATTGGTTTTGGTATTTTTCTCAGCTCAACAGCAATGGCTGCATCACCCAACAAGTAAAAGCGAACATGCTCCAGATTAAAAATACAGGCTTTGAAATGAAGCTCAGAGTGGAAGCCAGGATCAGAGAAGAGGGAACAGGTGTGAGTACGGAACGAATGTGGGAAAGAAAACAATAAACATTCATTGACTTCCCATAACAAAATAAGGGTCATTTGTAGGAAAGAAATTTTAGAACTAAAGTAACTTCTAAAAGTACTGACTCTTTATATTTTTTAGATGTGGTAGTCACTGCAAATGGGATAAGTGAAATCACAAACGTTGCATCCAAACTCACATTCGTGAAAGTGGATTCACACTTTAGACGAGGAGTCCCCTTTTCTGGACAGGTGGGATATATTTTAATTCACAGGTAAGCAAACTGTCCAGATGCACCTAAGCCCAGGTGCTACAATGTTGTAGCCCACATTTGGTTGGTATTACCAGTTAATTAATATGACCAAAACCATGAAACCAAGGAGAAATACTTTCCTTTCTAAATATCACTGATGAAATGTACAGACACACACTAAACTATTATGAGAATCAGAGATCTGTTTTAATATGTAGCTAATAAAGATACTTAATGTAATGTGACTTAGTTATTATATCAAATTTCTTCTTTCATCTAGTTTAGAATAAATGATATTTCTGTCATGACTCAGCCAGCATCAGAGGTTTCAGAGTTTATAACATTTATGGCTGGCTGTGTCCTTTTTTCATCTGCTACTCTCTTTAGACATAGTAAATAAGTCTTTAATTTTAGGTATAGGTATTAAAATAGTGTGCCTTTCATGGTTATTATTATTGTATTGTTTATATGTTTAATGTATATATTTTAACAAGAACAAAACAAATAAAATATTAATTTCATTCATATACATAATTTTACCAGTTTTATAATTAGTAAATAAGACATTTGACCAGACATAGTGGCTCATGCTTATAATCTCAGCACTTTGGGAGGCCAGGGTGAGGGGTGGGGTGGGGAGGATCGCCTGAGGCCAGGAGTTCTAGCTCAGCCCTGGAAACATAGTGAGACTTTGCCTCTACCAAAAAAAAAAGGAAAAAAAAAAAAAAAGCAGCAGGCTGGTGCTTAGTGGCATGCATTGTAGTACCAGCTACTTGGGAAGTTGAGGCTGGAGGATCCCTTGAGCTCAGAACTTTGATGCTGCTGTGAGCTATGATGGTACCACTGCACTCCAGCCTGGGCAACAGAGAAAGACCTGTTATGGAAGAAAAGAAAAGAAGAAAAGGAAAGGGAACGGGAAAAGGCAGAGAAGGAAAACAGGGAAGAAGGGAAGGGAAGAGAAGGGGAGGGGAGGGGAACGGAGGGGAGGGGAGGGCAGGACAGGGAAGGGAAGGGAAGGGAAAAAACTTTCTCAGGTGGGTTATTTTAGGTGATTTGTTGTAGGAGATAATAATAATGTTATTAACTAACGTTTATGGAATAATTATCATATACCAAATATCTTCTAATGTATTTTTATTATTTAAATTTTTTTAATTGATACATCATAGTTATCAGTTTGGGGGAGTACATGTGATTATTTAATACATTCAAATAATTTGTCAAGAACCAATCAGTATAATTGAGATATTCATCTCCTTAAATATTTGTCCTTTTTCTGTTAAAAATTCAAATGATTCTCTTCTGGCTATTTTTAAATCACAACAGATGATTGAAAACTATAGTCACCCTACTCCTCGAATGTATTTTTAAATAATTATTTAATCTTCAATACTACTATATGAAGGAGGCAATACTATTATCCCCCTTTTAATGAAGGTGGAAAACTGAAGCACAGAAAGGTTACGTGACATTTTTAGCTGCCAGAGAAGAGTTCAGTACGCAGCCAAGCATTCCAGCCTCCATCTACGTGAAAGGGAAAACAGCCGGTTTAAATTCATGTCTGTTTTTCTAACACCAGGTGCATATTAAGCGGCATGTTGTAGTTATTAAAAGCCTCCCTGACTCTAACGGAAATGCTCCAAAGTGTCATAGATAAGCTATGTAGGAATTAGGATCCAAATAGGCGGAAACATTCTGTAGTAAATATGCAGGTTTGCTGGGGGTTTCTGGGCGGGAAGGAGGTTGTTGTTTTAGTTACAGCAGCAAAAGCATTTGTCCATATGACTTCAGTCCTCTCTGGGTGTTATCCACATCAATTATCAAGTACTTTTCTTCTTTAGGTGCTTCTGGTGGATGGGAAAGGTGCGCCCATCCCCAATAAACTCATCTTCATCTCTGCGAATGAAGCCAACTATCACTTTAATACAACCACCAATGAACAGGGTCTTGTACGGTTTTCAATCGAGACTACTAATATCATGGCTAGTACTCTTTTTGTCACAGTAAGTATGGAAAGACAAACCTCTGAGGTCAAAAGGAAATATTAAGAACAGTGACATATTCAGAAGTGAAGAAAGACACAGATTGCATATAAGAGTAAGAAATAAGAACATATCTAGCTTTGAGGTTATAAATTTGCCGATAATAGAATTTCATGAAAAATAATAAAGGCATTAGAAAAGACACTACAGGGGAGGCTGAGGCAGGCGGATCACAAGGTCGAGAGATTGAGACCATCCTGGCCAACATGGTGAAACCCCGTCTCTACTAAAAGAATACAAAATTTAGCTAGGCATGGTGGCACATGCCCATAGTCCCAGCTACTTGGGAGGCTGAGGCAGGAGAATTGCTTGAACCCGGGAGGTGGAGGTTGCAGTGAGCCGAGATCATGCCACTGCACTCCAGCCTGGTGCCTGGCAACAGAGCGAGACTCTATCTCAAAAAGAAAAAAAAGAAAAGGCACTACAGAATTGCCTGATCGTTTCACTATCATTATCTATAACATTTTATATATTATGAAAAAAAATCTTATTTGATTTGGGTCTTGAACAATATCAGCTGCTTCAGTAATTCATGTAATTTGTTTTATGTTATTTTTTCCATGTGTACTTAGAAATTTTGTAAAGTGATCACACACACACACACACACACACAATACACATTGTCTAATGATGATGATCGAAACATTTCTATAGCTAAAAAGTTTTCATGCTGGTTATCTTAGACAAAGAAGTGATAAAAGACCACAATTTATGGATTTCATGTAGATAAATAACATAAATCATTTCTGTTTCTTAATGTTTACTTATTAATTCAGTTTAAAAATATGTAATGACGTTTAATGTTTTCTATGTGATAGACGCTTGCCTTCCCTAGGATTTAAAAGGTGAATAGTGTCCCTACACTTCAAACATTCCTATTTTCATAGAGTTAACAGATCTGTGAATTATTAGTATGAAGTGCTTACATGCAAAAGGCTTTTTTTTTAAATAGGAACTTTATTATGAGAGCAAATAGAGGAGCCCATAACATATGCCTCATCAATTTAGGAAAAAATGAGTGCACTCTGGAGAAAAGCGAAGGAGCAGTTACCGCAAGGGAAATGGGTAGAATCATGTGGTGAACAGTATATGCGAGGCTCAAAGTTTCAGAAACCACGTAGGTTTTAAGGTTGGAAGTCATAGTAATGATAAGAGGCATAAATGCTAATTTACTAAGGATTACTACAAACAATTTTGAAGCCCTTAGGTTAATAGAATGTTATATTAATATAAAACCTAATTTTAATTAAGCTGGTTTATGAGGTAATTCTAATACCTGAAAAATCCCATTTCCACTTGTTGGAGTTATTTATCATTCTCACTGGGACGTCATTTTTCTTCCAGTTCTGAGGGGCAGAAGGAAAATGTCAAAGTAGTAATGAGTTAGCAGAATCAGGGCAAAAGAGAGAAATTTGTGGATGATTTCCTTTTATTTGAATGTTGGGAGGCTGAAAATTCATTTATTTCACTGTCAACCCGTATGAGGGAGAGCCGTAGTGTATTTTAGGGTGGAAGACACAGTTTTGACTATTCATTTCGGTGAGCAGCTAAGGCGAAGAATCCCAAGGCGATCTTCCCACTTTGTTTTTGTGTCTGCTCAGGTTTCCAGTGAGCATCCCAGCTTCTGTTTGCCCTATTCGTGGGTAGCAGAAGTCCACGAGCCTGCGCAGCACGCTGCAAGTCACGTCTTCTCCCTCAGTGGGAGTTACGTGGACCTGGAGCCTGTGGCTGGCACTCTGCCCTGCGGCCACACACAGACCATCAGGGCACACTACGTGCTGAAGGGACAGGCCGTGGGAGAGCTGTCGGAGATCAGTTTCCATCACCTGGTAAGAATGAAGCCTTGGTGGGAGGCCGAGGTGGGTGGATCACGAGGTCGAGAGATCGAGACCATCCGGGTCAACATGGTGAAACCCCGTCTCTACTAAAAATACAAAACATTAGCTGGGCGTGGTGGCGCGTGCCTGTAATCCCAGCTACTCAGGAGGCTGAGGCAGGAGAATTGCCTGAGCCCAGGAGGCGGAGGTTGCGGTGAGCCGAGATCGCGCCATTGCACTCCAGCCTGGGTAACAAGAGCGAAACTCCGTCTCAAATAAAAATAAAAAAATAAAAAAATAAAAAAGAATGAAGCCTTGGAATACAACTGCAGCTCGTCAGTGGGCAAAAGTCATCAGTAGGCTCAGGAATGTCCAAACAAAGTACGTGCACACAGCCATGCTGCGTTCTCTGCGCGCCCTCCATTTCGTGAGTTTCCATGAGGTTGATTCTCTCCAGCAGAGACTCGACATCTGAAAGCCTTTTTTTTTTTTTTTTTTACGGAATATACTTTGTATGAATCTACCTCCCAAACAGTAAAATGCCAAAGACTAAAATGCTAACGTGCAGCTAAATTATAACAACTCTTTACAGAGCACTGCCTGTGAGCCACGTGGGGCTGGGCCGGGTTCTCCCCCAACCACCCGCCCGGCCCATCCTCCCAACAGGCCCGGGCAGTGGGCGCGTGCGGTGGGGCTCGCGGCGAGTGCGGCACTGGGCGGAGCCACGTGGCAGCCGAGCGCAAGACAAAGGTGTCCAAGAATCGGCTACGCAGGAGGTTTATGCAAAGGGGACTGGACTCAGAAACCAGGAGACGACTGGCAGGGGAAGAAAAGAAAATCGTTAGTGAAGAGCGCCGGTACGTGGGTCTGCCAGAGCTTAAAGAGAAAGAGAGTTTCCTAACAGAAGAGCCGAGTTTCTTACTACGTGAAGGTTTTCTCCATGGAAGAACGTCACTCCGAGGATTTCATCCTGAGGTTGAGAAATTGATGCTTCGTGTGAATACTAGGCTCAATGCAGCAGAAGTGGAAGATGCAGCGGTGGAGCTCGATGTGTCAGATGAAGCGATGGCTAGAAGATACGAGACCGTGGTGGGGACAGTTGGGAAAAAGTTTGCCAGAAAGACAGACCATGCCAATTATGAAGAAGGTGAAAATGGAGACATAACAACCGATTAAAGCAAAGAACATGTTCTTAAAGCCCCAGGACTAAGATGGATGCCTTAAGCCATGGCCCACGGGGGCTCCATGGAAGTCAGCGGCGGATCTGGAGCTCATCCCAATGGTGTCTCTGTAGTTATTAACACTGTAATGTTTACTTTGTAAAGACATGTATCATCTTAGAAACATGCTGTTTTTGAAACAGATGTTGATGGATGTTGTACATCCTTGGCTTAATGGTGTTCAGAGTGGATTTTTAGCCCCCTGATCTTCAAATGTACATTGTTAGAGGGCTCCTTCCTGAAGAGTATTTTGACCTCCGGTTTCTCTTAATACAGTTCTCCAGTTCTCCAGTCCCCCTCCCCCTCCTCCCTCCCCCTCCCCCTCCCCCTCCCTTTCTCCCTCCCACTCCCTCGACCTTGAATTGACTCATGTAAACTAATGCCAAAGTTTAAATTGCCCTTTATTATATTTATCAAGAATAAACATGCCTCTCCGGCCTTATGTATTTACATGCTACGAGGTCATTATCAGCTTATGGTATTATGTTGCTTTATTTAAAGCATTTAATTAACAGAAAAAATTATTCTGTAATAAAAATCTACTTTGACATTTAAAAAAAAAAAAAAAAGAAAGTGAGTCATGTGAGGATAGGATGCTGAGATCCGTGTCCAGCTCAAGAAAAGTTCTTTACTGTTTTTCATTTCAGGTCATGGCTAAAGGAGGCATAGTCAGATCTGGAACCCACACTCTGCCTGTGGAGTCAGGAGACAGTGAGTATCCTCAGGTTCATCTCTCCTTGCTTCCCTAACACATCCTTACCCTTCCCTCGGTGACAGTTCACCAATGGGGAAATCATTTCTATCACCTCTTCACAGTAAGGACGACACACAGGAAAACACTCTTCTTGTGACTCTTTGGCATTTTAAAATTCAACGCTCCACAGATACATTTTGTTTTCTACTCTGTATCAGTCACTCTGCTAAAGGACACTATTTTTTCACTTTAGTTTCTTCTAACAGTAAAATAAAAATCTTTTTAAAATCTAAGCTTACTTCTATTCATCTCCACCCCTAATAAAATGTACGTTGATTATGTTAATATTGCCGAGAAGAACAGAGTGATTATGGGAAATGGGAAGGAAGAAAGGTGCTGATTTTTTTTTTTTTTTTTCTGAGCTGGGCCATGAGTGCTTTATGCATGAAGTTGGATTCCCTTCAAGAATAAAATGGGGACTAAGGAACCAAGGTTATTTTCCATTCTAAGTCAAATAATGTAGAGGTTAAACCACTGAAAAGAGAACCCATGAACATTTTTGTAATTAAGCTAAACTAAGGCAAACATTTTACCAATTTTCACCACACCCCTGAGCTAAACTTAATAACCACTAGGATTTGCTTCATGCCTAATATTTTCTCTTTTTGTGTTTTCTCTCCTGCTAAGCTGGAAAAATAAAATGTCTATTTTTAATTTTTATTTTTCAATTTTGAAAATTGAAACAATTTTGAGAAGGTTGAATTATACAAGTTATTAATCAGTACTCTAATAATAAATAATTATTTTAATTAAGCATTAAAGATTGCTGCCAGTTTTGAATATTGGTTTTTCCAACTACTAGTGTAGAGACATTTAGATATGGAGACTGGACCCCAATGTGTAGATTGCACCCCCTCAATTCTTGGTGAATAATTTTCTTCCAATACTGCTATATGCATGACATTCACAGCAACAGTGGAAGGTTTTAAAATATTTATTTTTTTCTTTTCTAATATTTCAACTTGAATTTTCTCCATAAAAGGCAGAGCCTGTGTAAAAATCTCTATATAGTAAAATGAGGAAGCGTTATTTAATTATTTACTTTGTGAAGATGCCACATTGTATTGAAAGTAACTGAGTCAATTAGAAAAAATTTCTCTATATAGCTAATTACATCAATTGTTTCATCAAAAAAAAAGTTAACCGCAAATTTTAATACTTCTAATTACTGATTTACTTTCCACAGAAGAATTATTGAAAGCCCTTACACCGCTAAGATACAAGAAAGAAATTTGTTCACAATTTGCCTAAATTCAAATTTTTAAAACTTTTCAAATTGTCCAAGTTGAGCTTCCTCATACTGTTTTCTTTTTACACTGTTCTTCACACCATCCAAATTATTATTCCTAAACTATTTGTCTGTTTAATTTTCAGAATTCAGATTTTAAATAATGAAGGCTTCTCAAATTTTACTGTTTATTTTTATTTTGTTTTTTAATCTTTTATTTTAGGTTTGAAGGATATATGTGCAGGTTTGTTATATAGGTAAACTCATGCCACAGGGATTGTTGTGCAGATTATTTCATTACCCAGGTTCTAAGCCTAGTACTCAACAGTTACTTTGTCTGATCTTCTTCCTCCACCCCCCTCCACCCTCCAGTAGGCCTGTGTCTTCCGCTCTCCCTCCTCCCGCCCTCAGATAGGCCCCACTGGGTGGTGTTCTCCTCTTTGTAACCTTATGTTCTCATCATTTAGCTCCCACTTATGACTGAGAATGTGCAGCATTTGGTTTTCTGTTCCTGCATTATTTTGCTAAGAGTAATAGCTTCTAGCTCCATCTATGTTCCTGCAAAGGACACAATAGTGTACTTTTTTATGGCTGCATAGTTCCATGGTGTATATGTACCACATTTTCTTTATCCAGTCTTCCACTGATGGGCATTTGTGTTGATTCCATGTCTTTGCAATTGTGAATAGGGTTGCAGTGAACATAAGTGTGCATGTGTCTTTATGACAGAACAATTTCTGTTCTTTGGGAATATACCCAGTACTGAAATTCTTGACTTGAATGATAGTTCTGTTTTTAGCTCTTTGAGGAATTGCCACACTGCTTTCCACGAAGACTGAACTAATTTACACTCCCACCAGCAGTGTACAAGCATTCCCTTTTCTCCACAACCTTGCCAATGTCTGTTAGTTTTTGACTTTTAATGATAGCCATTCTGACTGATGTGACATGATATCTCATTGTGGTTTTGATTTGCATTTCTCTAATAATCAGTTGCATTTAGCTTTTTTCATTTGCTTGTTGGCCACATGTAGATTTTCTTTTGAAAAGTGTTTATTCATGTCATTTGCCCACTTTTTAATGTGGCGGTTTGTTTTTTCCTTGTAAATTTGTTTAAATTTCATAGATGGTAGATACTAGATCTTTATTGGATGCACAGTTTGCAACAGCCTTCTCTCATTCTCTAAGTTGTCTGTTTACTTTATGGATAGTTTCTTTGGCTGTGCAAAAGAAGCTCGTTAGGTTAATTAGACACCATTTGTCAATTTCTGCTTTTGTTGCAATTGCTTTAAGCCTTTTCTTCATGAAAGCTTTTCAGTTCCTATGTCCAGAATGGTATTGTCTAGGTTGTCTTCCAGAGTTTTTATGCTTTTTGGGTTTACATTTCAGTCTTTAACCCATCTTGAGTTGATTTTTTGTATATTGTATAAGGGTCCAGTTTCAGTCTTCTGCCTATGGCTAGCCAGTTATCTCAGCGCCATTTATTGAATAGGGAGTCCTTTCCTTGTGTTTGTCGGCTTTCTTGAAGATCAGATAGTTGTAGGTGTGCAGTATTATTTCTGCTGTCTGTATTCTGTCCCATTGATCTGTGTGTCTGTTTTTGTACCAGTACCATGCTGTTTTGGTAACCGTATCCCTTTAGTATAGTTTGAAGTTGAGTAGCATGATGCATCCTCCTTTGTTCTTTTTGCTTAGGATTGCCTAGACTATTTGGTCTTTTTGTTAGTTCCATATGAATTTTAAAATAGTTTTTTCTAGGTCTGTGAAGGACACCATTGGTCATTTGATAGGAATAGCGTTGAATCTATAAGTTGCTTTGGGTAATATGACCATTTTCATGATACTTATTCTTCCTATCCATGAGCATGGAATATATTTCCATTTTTGTCATCTCTGATTTCTTTGAGCAGTGTTTTATAATTCTCATTGTAGAGATCTTTTGCCTCCCTGGTTAGCTGTATTTCTAAGTATTTTATTCTTTTTGTGACAGTTGTAAATGGAATTGCATTCCTGATTTGGCTGTTGGCTTGGCTGTTGTTGGTACAGGAATGCTAGTAATTTTTGTACAAAGGAGCTTTTGGGCCAAGACTATAGGGTTTTCTGGATATAGAATCAACGTCATCTGCAAACGCAGATAGTTTGACTTCATTTCTTCCTATTTGGATGCCCTTTATTTCTTTGTCTTGCCTGATTGTTCTGGCCAGGACTTCCAATGCTATGTTGAATAGGAATGGTGAAAGAGGACATCCTTGTCTTGTGCCAGTTTTTAAGCAGAATGCTTCCAGCTTTTGCCCATTCAGTATGATGTTGACTGTGAGTTTGTCATAGATGGCTCTTATTATTTTGAGGTATGTTCTTTCAATATCCAATTTATTGGGAGTTTTTAGCATGAAGAGGTGTTGAATTTTACTGAAATCATTTTCTGCATCTGTTGAGGTAACCATCAGTTTTTGTCTATAGTTCTGTTTCTATGGTGAATCACCTTTATTTATTTGCATATGTTGAATCAACCTTGCATCCCAGGGATGAAGTCTACTTGATCATGGTGGATAAGCTTTTTAAAGTGCTGCTGGATTTGGTTTGCAAACATTTTGTTGAGGATTTTTGCATCAGCCTTCATCAAGGATGTTTGATCAGACTATTTTTTATGTGAATCCCACTTCTCCTCATTGTGGGGGACCCCACAACCCGGGACTCCAGCCACCACCACCCCACCCCCATCAGGGTTTTCAGGCTGGTAGCAACTCAACATTTCCCTGAGACAGAATTCAGAGAAGGAGAGGCAGGCTGGCTGCCATTTTTTCTGTCTTGCAGCCTCCATTGCTGTAACTTTCAGGTTCTGCAGATCAAGTAGGGATTAGGGTGTGGCATGGATTCCCTGCACAGCACAGCTGACCCACTAGTTCTTTTAGTTGAGATGTAAGGTTGTTAATTTGAGATCTTTCTAACTTTTTGATGTGAACGTTTAGTGCTATAAGTTTACCTCTTAACACTGC